TTCTCATAAAATGAGAAACGTCCAATACAGGATGTACTCAACAACGTTGGGATGTCGGCGGCAATCATTAAATGTCTGGAAGATATTTTACAGGAAACTATTGAAATAAACTACTGATGTCACTTATTACTTATATTTTAAACGGAACAGTTCGATATGATTTCAGTAGTTATTCGTTGTCGCGAATTAGAACAAAATTTATACAATTTTATCTTTTTTGTTGAGCATCATTTAAGTGGACATTTTTTCTTGCTATTATCGTAATAGAGATATTTAAATGTAAACCTGCTTAGTATTTTTTGTTGTTAGCAAAACAGTTACTTTTGCGTTTTATAAGTACTTCCTTTAATATTTATGTTATTTTTTAGATGTACACATTTATCACTTTTAAATGTATATATCTATATAAACAAGATTGATGAACAAAGATATGGAATTGACACACATCATAAGAACACGGAACCAGTTACTTCACGTTTATAGATTAGTTCGATGGCTTGAAAGAACGTCGATACCGTCCGTTATCGTTTATTGCTTCGGAAACGAAGTTGAATGCCGCCTCTCGCTCTATGTTCTCAGCTATTCTTCGATAGTTCCTTTAAACTACCGAATAGGCTTCCAAATAACTTCCAGACAACCTCCGTTATAGATGAGCTCTTTGTAAAGCTGTCATAGAAATCTCTGTTCTCGTCAAGTGGAATCAGAAATACTCTCGGAAATCAAGAATCGAGCTTTCTTACAAATGTCTTTTTTGCATGATTTGCACTTGTTGTATTTCTACTAAACTTCTTGTAAAACAGTATATCCATTATTAAAGTTTGGAAAACATACTCTGTGAATAATTCTTTGGGTTAGTTTATTACCTTTCGCCACTCTGTTAAGTTAATTTTTAGTGACAGTTTATCAAATTGATAATTCATTCTTTTTTGTGAGGAGTAAAAGTTAAGATCTTTAAAGTTAAAACGATAGTGAAATTGTGAAGAAATATTTATTAATCGCGTAAAACGGATACAACTTGGAATAAGTTTCCACAATGTTCGCTTATAATATGCATATTTTGCGGTTACTATAAGAAAAAGAAACACGCGATGTTACGACAATACAAAGTGATGCGTGTAATCACGGCGTCGTTGAGAAATGGTCGACTAGCGGGAACATCTGGCGCTTTGAAGCAGAAAACGGGCAAATCTTCCCTCATTTTTCTCATCCCCTACTCGGGACGATGCGCTTTCTAGTTAGCGTTTTCTTGCCGCGAACATCATAGATTTTCGAGTTTATTTTCACACCGGATAAATATGAATCTCTGAGAAATGGAGGAATAATTAAGCGGATGGGCGAAAGAAACTCGTGACTTGCGCGATGTAATTTTGCGGCGACTTTCTTAAATTTTGTCCCCATTTGTGTCCTACATATTACGCAAACAGTTTTCCGAGCAGAGCCGGTAATGGAGAACTTTGCGATAGACTCACTCCTAAGTTTCCGAGTTTTTGTTGGGTAAAGTCGCCGCACTTCGTTTGCGTCTTATCGCGCCAGTATAAGTAACTACTTCAACTCAGAGAGTTGAAATGGGCCAACGAGTCTGGATTTTCAAAATTTTCATTCACGTTCCTTTTCGACCTTATTTATCACGCTAAGATTTTAAAAGCCTTCAATCGCGAGCCGTCATAGTTTTAGAATTATTGGAAGCCGCGGGGGATGCTTGCGCGAAATGCGTAAGCGGCTGATTTCGCATTTCCCGCACGCGGAGCTACTTGGATGACCTGTTCGGAATTTTCAAAACGGTCTGGCAACCGGGTTGTTTGCATCTCGTTTGCACCTGGCGAGAAAGAAAGTTTTGGAAATTCTCGGCGGGCACCCGCTTCGCTTCAGATTCGAAGTTTTTTCGATAACTCGAAAATTATGGGTGCCCAATGGTCGTTTCTCCACATCTGGCCAGCGGAAACGACGTGTAAAGCCAAACTTTTGTAGAATCGAAGATTCTGTACAGAAGTCGGCTGGTTATATATTTTCACGGAAGCTATTGGGAATGGCGAGATACACGTAACATACATAAGGAGCAAATAAATAAGACAAGAAAACTTTTTTCGCAGAGATTGTATAGTGACTTTTTTTTTCTAAGATTGCAGTAATTGAAATCTTTTTTTATTTTCCAATAAAATAATTGTTTATCAATCGCTTAAAAAAGATTACACGTGGACTCGTTAAAAAATGTCTGCGTCGCAGTTTATTCTGAAACTTTCTTCTGATAATCAACCTTCGATCTGCTGAAGTTTATTTTGTTTCACGTTTAATACGTGCAGTTCATGGTTACATATACTGTAGAAAGAAAAGCTTGGGGTTTGTAGCAATACGGATTGGTATATGTAATCACGATCCATTGAAAAATAGCCAAGCGGCAGAAGCATATGGCGCTTCGGAATCGGAGAACACAGCTTTCCTCCACCTTTCTTTTTGATTTCCTCGTCAGCTGGCGCGGAGTATAATAATATTTTTGATTCGAAGGTCGTTACTTCTTAAGTCGTGTGCCCGAACATTTCTGATATCTGATGAAATACGGTCGTCTTTCAACGACTTCAAAGCACTTTGCGGAGTAAGTGCTATAAAATATTTAAGAAAATCAGAACGCGCGCGAATACATTATATGTTCTGTATATGTGGATATAGTCTTCTTGCTAAAAACTTTTTGAACTGAAAGATAAGCATTTGGTTTTTGAGAGATTGTTTAGATTTTAATATTAAATAATTTCGTATGTTTATGCAACATGTCGTAAATTTTTGCTAAAGGAAACATTTAGTTGAACGAAAACTTTATAATGAAAAATTTTATAAAAGGAAAGTGTATAGCTCCCTTCTTGCTCACATACATGTAAGTGTAATATGATACTGTTCATCTCGCAGAAACCGATCTTTTATACTATATCTCTCGTAATTTCACTCGAGTTCAACGGGATCACATACCTGCACGTCGTTATATAATTTGTCGCCTATGAAAAAAACATGAAGCCATGGTAGTAAGTGCGGAACGATGCGCGTAATCACGGCAACATTGAGAAATGGTCGAGTAGTAGTAGCATCTGGCGGGCCGGACCGGGCCAGGAAGCGAGAGAGAAGCCTCCTCTGGTTTTCTTGTTGATTTCCTCGTCGTCCTGCGTGAACAAGAATAATGCTCTCGGCCTGGCACCGGACCCGGTACCAGATGCCGGCTCACGAAGATCGAATACACGCCGTTGTTATTGCGTCCGGAAACGAGTATCGTTTATCTGCGAAAAAGAGGAGAGAGTGAGAGGAGGGTTTCTGGTGGCAACGGTTTCTGTTCCGAATCTCAAGATTCGAGATTATCACAGATCGGAGATAACAAAATTATCAATAGAGAAATTGATTCACGCTGCAATAAAAATATAAGAGTCTACATTCCTTTAATCTTATCTAAGCATTTTTTGCTTGAAATAAATAAATATTATGATATTCAGGCTGTATTTCTTTTCGGCACATTAAGTTTTATTATATGTGAAAGAAAGATATAAAATGAAGTTTATATCGTGAGTGCTCAAAGTAAGCGCAGCTTGCTGAGATACGCCAACAAGATTTTGCCGATTGGTTGTTAGGCTCAGCTTTTCATTATCTGGTTAATTTGTAGTACGATTTAACATGATTTTATCCTATATGGACTCCATATATGATGATGTCATGCATGAATCCTATTGGATGAAATATCAGGTTAAGCTTAATCACAAGTTAACCAAATAATTAAAAACCCGGTCTTAGATATATTATAAGTATGGACGTAACAAGTTTAATGAACTACGCATTCTCTGATCTTGTTTAGCATCTGTATTTATTATTAAAAAGAATTGAATTGTATATCAGCATTTCTCTTCAACTTAATACTTTAAAAAAGAAGAGAGCAATAGATTCAAGTTACTTCATTCTTTCTAAACTAACAGGGACAATTTCATAGAAATACGCAGTCTGTTCTTATTTCATCTATGGTTAAACGCGATTATAGAATTTTCCGTCCGTTTTGCTCTCTCTAATGTTCTATATTCATTAAGCATTAATCAATTGAATTAGTTAGATGGTGATCGATATTTGTGATCCTTTGCTCACTATATTGCTGTAGGTATTATACATGCAGGATGTATTAAAGTTAATTTTGTTTTTGAGATATTTCAAATAGTTTTTTTTAGTATATATAGATAAATACTTTTTAGTTACAAGGTTTCGAAATTTAAACCTTTTTAACACTCATAAATTGAGATATTTGTATTGTATATTTTTTGACAATAAGATCCTCCTCTTACGAAACGAGATAGGTCTCTAGAAGTCGTCTACTGGAATCTTTAGGATTTCGAAATATCCTGATATTCTGCCCGATGTCTCCGCGGAAGAGATTGGTTCAAAGACGGTACGCAGAAGCCAATGTGATTGTACGTGGATACGAAGGGGATTGCGGCAGGTCACGTCGCGCTTCACTTAAAACAAGTAAAGGCCGTGGCAAAACCGTAGGATGGAACCAGTGGGTAAACGGATAAACCTAAGCCGAAGGATCTCTGTCCTTCTCCATGATGCGTCTGGCCTATACGTGCTCAACGTTCGGGACATGTCTGCGACGAAAAATGGTCTCTGTGTTTTACAGAATATTCTCTATTAGAGTTGTGATACGAGTACAAACATTTTTAACATAGTAGTTCACTGTGGGTTATACGCTGAGGATTATAAGAAAATGAATGACCCGTTCATATCTGCTTCTTATCGTAAGGAATATTTTTCCTTACTTTGAATAACAGGAAAGAGATGTATTAATACATTAATTAATGATTTCGTAATTGATAATATATAAGTAGTTGAGACAAATAATAAAAAGAAGTATAAAATATCCGCATGTATCTCCATACACAAATCTTTAATTTGTTCTTTTATTTGGAAAAGAGCTAATACATTGATCATAGATATATTATTATATAATGTAACTCGCTCTCTTTCTCTCTCTCTTAACATTGATTTTTGTAAAGGTATGTGTGCATTCATTTATCTATACATTTCTATTATCTATACATTTATCTATGAAAAATTATTATATAATAGATATATTATTTATTTTTAAAAAACTTATTATATAATATCTAAATTTACTTGTTTATATAATCCTCGTGTGCAGTAGCATTCCCCCACTCTTACCAAAAGATAATACAGCTTATATGATAACATCAGCATCATCCTGATTATATAATTTGACGTTCAGTGAAATTTTATTTACAGTTTGTATGAAACTATCGACACTGAAGGAATCTTATCGGTTCATTCTCCTGAAGACATTTTTTTAAATCTTCCACGAATTCAAAATATCGCGATTTTATAGTTCATTTTATGATAAACTGATACATCTGACAGTTGCGAACAGAAGATACACAGGTAAGTATATGCGTTAGTATTGTTAATCGAAATGCCATTTCCACAAATTCACTGCTAAATTTAATGTCGTTGCGATTGTAAACATTCATAATTACGCTTTTTATGAGTTTGATATTATTTTCGACTCGGTAGTTATTAGTAGCATGTCAACGAGCTACGTCGTACTTGCAGACAGGCAATTATGGATCGTTGGCTTGGTAAAACCGCAGTCGTTACCGGCGCTGGATCCGGTATGGGCGAAGCAATTACACGTGCTCTTCTGCGAAATGGAGTGAATGTGGTTGCTCTGGAACTCCTGAAAGAAAGATTAGCAAAACTTGATGCGGATTGTAAGCGAGAACGTTTCCCGGGCAAATTACATACTATATGCTGTGACATAACTCGCGAGAATGAGATCGATGCAGCATTCTCGCATATCGAGACGTTAGGTGGTGTGGATATTATGGTCAACAATGCTGGTATCATTGAGGTATCACGAATAATAGGTATGATGATTATGCAGAATAATACACAAATAAGGAATTTTTTTAAGAATTATTTAAACAAGTATTATTTATATATGCCCCGATATTGAATTTCTCTTTATGGCCAATGTAGAAATACAATATGTGTTGTATATTTTATCTCGCAATATTGTGTAACGAGTTAATTTAATATTAATTTGAAACTATGAACTTTTATATTTATGTAATTGTTTCAAAAAATAACATATCTTGTAATTCATTCTTAAAAGATGCATAAATATGCATTTACAAAGTATTGATGATTGATGACTGTTAACACGTTTAATTTCAGAATATACTTGAAGAATTTGAGAATTGATTAAATGTCTTATTTAAAAATCTAGTTTTAATCGCAACATGTTATTGAAGTTTGTTCAAAAATGTTATTGATGTCATTCAAAAGCAGTGATCTTTGAAACGAAGAATATTGTTAAAAAAAGAGATCATTACTTTTATTTGTTTTATTTTGTTACGTATGTCTTGTAGAGCCAATTGTGGCTCTTATTATCCTATTGACAATTATTATAATAAGATTTCAATAAACAAACTAGAAGAAGGAAGCCATTAACAGTCGAAGCTGGATCACAGTGCTTATTATAATTGTGTGAATTTTAAATACCTTCCTTCTTCTAGTTTGTTTATTGTTTATTGTTTATCATGTACGGTCATAAAATAAGATTTAATAAGATTTCAGTTTTCTCGATCATATTAGTTCATTAAAAACAACTTCATGTATTATATTTGCAGATAGCAACAGGAAGACATTTGAAAAAGTGTTAAATACTAATGTTCTCGCAGTCGCAGTATGTATGAATAAAGCAGTGCTTTCGATGCGCAAACGAAACAGTGAAGGACATATTTTCAATCTCAACAGGTATTGTTATCTATGATTAGTAATAATTAATCCAATAATTTATCAAGTAAAATAATAAATATAATAAGTCTTTGAAACAAATAAGTTTAAGAAAAAAATTTCCTTGATTTTCTATGAACTATATGAGACAAGGATCGTGAAAGACTTTTTGATCAAGTTTATTGTGTGTAATGGTTATTACCGTATATTTTACGTTTAACATGAATATATTTTATCCACAGTATTGTGAGCCATCATAGAATGCCGAATGATTTGATAGAATGTAACATGTACTTCTCTAGTAAACATGCATCTCTTGCTCTGACTAACACAGTACGACGTGAAGTATCAAAAATTAAGGCACCTATTCGAGTTACCGTAAGATACAATAATATATTTTTATAATGTTATGTAAATAATAACTTTTAATTAACAAGTAACGCGTTGTAATAATTACTTTATTGATGACGAACCGTTCTATGATGAGATAATAATAGGCACAAACAAAATACTTATATATCATCAAATGTAAACAGTGCTTATGTTTATTAAGATAATATTGGATATTATCATGATGTTTATAATATTATTTTTGTGCTAAGTATTACTACATGCTTTTTTTTTATTATGTGGATAATTATCACTTGCTTGTTTGGCTTTTTCAGGGCATTAGTCCTGGTACTGTAAAAACAAATATAGTTGCTCATGAGGATAGTTTGAAAGACTTTTTTGACAAAAAACAGTGCATTCAACCGGAGGACATAGCGGATGCGATCATTTATACTCTTGGAACACGATCAAATGTTCAGGTTTAAAAGATCATTATACTATATATAACGTACTTTCTTTCCAATAAATATAGGAAAATTATTTTACGCGTTATATTTAATTGTAGATTACGGAACTCACCATCCAACCTACTGGAGAATTACTATGAAGATATCTTCAGTTATCAGTAAGAGGCCTGTCTGTTAATACATCAACAACTTTAAAAGAAACAATTTTAAGCTTATGATAAAATAAGAAACTTAGAGGTCGATAAACATTAAATTTTATTGTTTTGCATTTTTTGTATAAATAATAATACAAAATATTTTTATGTTTGTGAGTTATTTTCTTCTTAATGCTATCTATGTTTCACTTAATAATTTTGCTTACCTAATCTTTTTCAATGTATTTGCATTTTTACTTAAACAGAGATAAAAATAAATAATGCTGTAAATCTGGGGTAAAGACTTTGTATATTTATATCTTTGTTTTACGATAAATACATGAAAAAATTGTAAAGATATTTATCGTTTATTTTACAATGCATGTATGAAATTTATGGTCCATATATTAGGGAGACGAAATACTGACTATCAGATATCGTTGTTGTTTATCTCGCACGATGCCTTGTACTTGTACGTGTCATTTTAAAAAGATATACTCGATATTTCGATTTGTGACAATTCCGCTTATCGCGAAACAACGTTATCGGCAATGCGTTCGTGTGTAATCGTTGCATTCAAATTTCGACGAAGTGGCTGCTACACACATCCAGTATAGTTACATCCTGCTTGTCGTATGACAAATATAGCGTCATTTGGCATTTATACATGAACGATTGAAATGCGCGTTTCCTATGCACGAGTGTGTGTCTCCCATATCTGCGTTGTGCATTCGTATGCGTGCTTCTAAACATGAACTTCCGACAATAGCGGCTTACTATACCGAGCTCAACTGTCAACCATGGAGGCATTCGAGTGCGAGCGATAGTTAAGGTGTCAAACAAGTTCCGTCATGCTTCGAGCAGTTCGAAGGAATCGCGTTATCAGGAAAATCGATTTTCCCGGTATGCATCGGGTGTCGGGTCCTGTCAAAATCTAAGTGTGTGCCTAGTATTCTAGCTGTGCGATTAGATCTCGTTTCTCGCAGCGTTATAATCAGATATACTATAGACAAACAGATGCCTTTCATCGCTGATTTTGAAAATTGCCCCATATGATATATAATTCAACCAATCTTTTCTTTTTTAATAGAGCTTGACAATACAATATTATAGTGATTATTATAAACTCAGTTGAAATTATAAAGAATATCCTATATAGTTTGCATATTAAAATATTTTAAAAAAGTTTTCTTTTTCAAAAAAATAAATTTTAAAAATGTTTGTCATTTTTTGTCCCGAGTAATAGGTTTCGATACATAAAAGTTTAAGACTGGTTAATTACAGATTATGGTTAAACGGCTGTTCGTGAGTTGCCAACTGTAACCACTAACACTATCGATGCGTAACTATAATAGACGTATTACTATGCGTACTATTGTAAAGTTGGAATTACAATGTGCTAGAAGGTGCAAATATCAGTATTTTAACTATATAATGATCTTACATCTTCTTTTTTTTATAGTTGAATTTCATTAATCATTCAGTGTCAAGTGCTAATATGATATGCTGATAATCCAGTATCAATGCTATTTCAAAGGATTATTCACTGCGATTTAGATTTAGAGAGTGTTATTTTGATTCGCGAATTTTGGAACACCTTGCACATATATATATATATATACATACAACTATATTTAATGCTGTTACATAATGACTGCGTATTTCTTCCAAACTTGTCAAAAAATAAATTGCAAGCTGCTTTAAAAGTTATGATAATCGCCGCGGCTATTACTTTATTTGCTACGATATAATTAATAACGCGAAGACATGGAAAGAATCCGTTGCTTTTATTTCTCATTTTGAGGTACTTTTAGCTGTTACACTAAGGAAGGACGGGGGTATATATAAGAAGCAAGATATGTATAAAACGCGGAAGAACGGCAGAGTGATGATCGATAAAGATGTACTTGGTACATGGGGCTGTCTGTATGGACGGGGGCCGGCATTTAGGAATTTATATTAAAATATGTAAATCTATCGGCGCGGGCATATTTGAAAACAGATAAATTATGCCGGCCGTGTATTGCGTTCCCGCGGTAAAATATCGACACTGCGGCATGGCGGTGCGGGGAGGGATTGAGGCTAACAGGCGGAAGCGGAGTTCCTCGCATAACTGCACGTTCTGTTGACCAGTAGAAATGCGATTTATGACGATCATTGTGTAACAATCATAAATTATCTCTTTATTTACGCGGGGCGACAGCAGCGTTCGCGCTGGTATTGTTTTTCCGTGCCTTTAGCGTCTTTCTCAAATAATAACACCTGATGCTTCCAAATTCTGTCGCTTCGTTTGGCTCGTTTACATTTTGCAATGATGAGTTTATCTTCCAAGTTAGCACTGTCAGGTACTTGTCTGCTCAGTGCAAATGAGAAATTAAGTATTTTGCATTAAGCCGAGCTGTTCTAATCGGTACAGGGATTTAAAACAAGCTTATAAATTGGAATTAATAGCAATTTGGCCTGCCAACATTCATATGTTGTATATTGGCTGCTATATTTCGTTCAGAATTGAAATTAATCTTGCAAATGCCTGAATTTACCAGAGAGCCACCAAATGTTGAGGTACAAACATTCCGATTTAACTTCCTTAAATGCGTTCGTAACTGTTTCTGACAGGGAACAACTCACCTTCTCTTCCCTACTGACTCGTACGTTAACAGTTGTTTGACCGTGTTTCTCTAGTTTTCGTATTTGAATTAGTCTCAGAGTATATCTTCGGTAAATCTAAACAATTGATGAGTAAATTTAATGCTTTGAAGATGTTGAGAATTCTATGTTCTTGAAAATTGTACATCTCATTACTTGTTTCTTTGTTTGTTGACTTGAAATCCAAAAAATAACTACGGCATGATTACCGAATCTGTTTTCTTTTTTATTACATGATATTATTAAAAGGTTTAGAAATTGGAAATAAACAAAATAAATTGATATATGAATGCAGCGAGAAATTATACATAAACACACAGTTCTACACAATTTTTTTTTTTTAAGAAAGAGGAGTACAGAAAAATTTAAATAATATGATTTTACTAATATATTCTGACAAAAAACTTTAGTCGTTGCGTACGCAAATAAAAGGAATACACTTTCTCTGAAATTGGGGCGCAACGTGACGTGCCGCGATTGAGAATTAGAAAAACGATTTCAACGCGTCAAAAGTTTTGCAACGTTTCGACTTATGTCATTAAAGCGAATATGCGAAGCGGGGAACGAAACATGGCAGCTGAATACAGCGACGACGAGGAGTCAGCCGGGTCGCTAAGGGTTCGCGAGAAGGGCTCGGGGTGGTTGGATAGGTTCGTTAGCGGAACACTGGCAGTGCAAACATGCCCGCTTAAACCGGCTGCGTACGTGCGCCGATGCGGTGTCAGATTTGAAGTGGTTCGCGGTGACGGCGTGCACGTGACGCGTTGGAACGAAACGCGAACTGCGCGCCTTCGCCGACGACGCCGAGGGAGGACGACTGTTCGGTATTGGCCTGTGCTATAGTCACCGCACGCTGGGCTGAATATCGAGCGAGCTTGTCTGTTGACTTATTAAAAGCCGACTGAAATTGGAGCGAAGGCGGAAAATTCGATTTTCGGGATTTCGGCCGATTTCCGCGTTCATCGGAGTGGTGCGGTGACCTCAATTATACTGCCACGAATGAAAGCTATTTTCCGGAGTAACTATATTGTGCGGTTTCTCTCAAGCATACCCGAACATATTCATGATAGACTTAGGCAATGACAAAATTCTGCAAAAGTATCATTGCTACAGCATTTAATTATTTAGGAGGAAGAAAAAAATTATATATTTTTTTAATATACACATAAGAGCAGATACACGCTAAACTAAATGTAATATTCTCTTTTTTAATAGCAAAAAATTGAATATTTTATAATTAATATGGAGAATTTTGAAATACGTTTTAACGAGTCGAATTAATCTTTAATCATTATACGAGATTCAAGCAATGTTCTTATATGTACATCCTTTTAATAAAGTAATATATTCACAAAAAAATACAAAATTGGAGATTTTCGCGATTATTCTGTAATTTTCGAGAAGCTTGATATTTATAAACGCGTGACACTGTGAGCCGCATTGATAATATATCTGGTTACATAAGAAGGGTTAAATTAAGAATACTGCGCCCACGTCTTCTCCTCTTAATTGTCTTTTTACTAAGAATGTTTTCTTTTATGCACGAGCTAATGTATACAATATGGCACGTACATGTAGCAACTATTAACGTCACAGCTGCAGTAGCTGGAGCGCGTATTCTTGTTCGGCGACCGGCTTAGTATATACTGCCTAAACCGTGCACGTTATCTCTTGCTCCGACATCCCCCAGAGTCTACGCTTCTTCCTTAACATTGCCGTTGCTACTGTTGTCGCACTCCTTGCTTAATTCGTAGTTGGGAATCTGTGAAGCGGTGAAGTTGCAGAATAGTTTCCTCTCTCTCTCTCTCTCTCTCTCTCTCTCTCTCTCTCTCTCTCTCTCTCTCTCTCTCTCTCTCTCTCTCTCTCTCTCTCTCTCTCTCTCTCTCTCTCTCTCTCTCTCTCTCTCTCTCTCTCTCTCTCTCTCTCTCTCTCTCTCTCTCTCTCTCTCTCTCTCTCTCTCTCTCTCTCTCTCTCTCTCTCTCTCTCTCTCTTTCTCTCCCGAATGGATTGAATCGTGTCCACGCGATATGCACTCAATTCGATGCAATTTACGCGCGTATTGTGGACGCGTAGTGCTGAGGCGTGGAACGTGATGAAGTGATTAGTATAATATAAAATAATAAATTGACGAAAAGGACAGTCCGTGGAGGAGAATTGCAACTCGCGCGGCGGGACCTTGATTTTGCATTCTGTATTACAAGGGGCGTATCTCGCAGAATGAATATTACGCACGGTGGTCTTGTCGAGGTGCGCGCGGGAATCTTTCGCCTCCGTTATAAATCCACTCGTTCCATCCGTCTGCATCTCGGCGACATTCATGAGGGAAAAAGATGCGCATAATGTTATCAACGCATTCCCGACATGGCCGTGCATAGTTTAATCCACTGCGACGCTGATCCCCGCGGTACAGGATGAATTCCATCTCCTCATCGTAGCGGTTGCGAGTAATATTGGA